TTTTATTTTAAGTTGGCTCCATGCCCAATGTGGGGCTTAAACCACCCTGAGATCAAGAGTCATGTGCTCTACTGACTGAGCCAGCCAGGCACCCCTAGAGAATTTTTTTTTAAAGGCATTTCTTATTCTAAACTCCAAACAAAGTAGGAACATCCCTCCTACCCAACGTTTCTCTGTAGAGTGGGTAGATTTTACTCTAGAATCCTGGAGGGGATTCTATAAGGGTCTTCAGTCTTAGACAAATAGGGATTTTAGTAAGTTTTTTAAAATTTTTATTTATTTTGAGAGAGAGAGGGGGAGATGCAAGGGGAGAGGGAGAGAGAAAATCCCAAGCAGGCTCCATGCTGTCAGCACAAAGCCCAATGCGGGACTCGGACTCAGGAACCATGAGATCATGACCTAAACAGGAACCAAAAGCTGAATATTCAACCAACTGAGCTACCCAGGCGCCCCCAGACAAATAGGGATTTTAGATTAGAGCCTTTCATTCAACCAGGATTCATTGAAGCAGCATGGTAAAGTGGGAAGGGTGTGGACGTGAGCCAGATGGCTTCATCAAAGGCTGTGCTGACTCCTTCCCCCTGGGCTCTGCCCACCAGCCTCAGATCTGAAGAACCCAAGGAGCAGAGTGTGTCCCCCTAGAAGCTTTCTCAGTGGATCATTGGTGGGCATTGGACATTTCCTTAAGTTTATCGACATGTGAGAGGGAAGAAAGCCCCTCCCTGCTTTTGAGGGGCTACCAGCCTTGGGGGAGGGAGACATGGGCAGACCTGCAGAAACTGAGTAACAGCACAGCCTGGCCGGGGCTGCACAGCACAGAGCAGCGTGGGCAGAGACGGGGTCCCACTGCTTGGAGCCGAGGTACAGAACCAGCACCCACTGGTGAGGGAAGTGAAGGCAGTGCCTGTACCTCAGTGTGTTGATAATGTGGTTGTACAAAGAATTCTTCTATAGTACTTCCCAATTTGTAAACTGTTTTCTAAAACCCAGCTGACATCCATTCTGTTGAAATATAATCTCAACAGTTGATTTCATTAATAGCTAAATTACTTGGCTTTCTTGTGTGCTTTCTCATGTTCACAAAGCCCAAGTTTGATGGAGAAGATGGCTTTGACAGCTTCTCACTTAGGTAGCTTTTTCTGCCTACTAAAGGCAACTTATTTTAATTTAAAAATTACTTTAGGGGCGCCTGGGTGGCTCAGTCGGTTAAGAATCTGACTTTGGCTCAGGTCATGATCTCACGGTTGGTGAGTTTGAGCCCCACATCAGGCTCCTCACTGACAGTGCAGAGCCTACTTGGGATTCCCTCTCTCTCCCTCTGCCTCTCTCTTCTCTTCTCTCTCTCTCTCTCTCAAAATAAATAAATAAACTTTAAAAAAATTAAAAATTACTTTAAATCTTGAGATGAAAATATGTTAATTCTCTAATCTAATGATGTGACATTCTCCCCAAATTCACAAAAGCTAACCTAATCGTGTGCCAGTCAAAGTATAGGTTACAACAGCTGTAGCAGAGAGAGAGTTCCAGAGTTGCTCAACAAGGTTGAGATTAGTTTGTACCAGCCTGAGTATGGGCAGGTGGACCAGAATGGGGGGCAGCTCTGGGCCACAAGGTCATTCAGGACTCTGGCCAGTGGGCAGCTCTACCAGCTTCAACATGTGACTGCCATCTCTGGGTCTGTGACAGCTGTTCCCCCAGCCAGCAGCAAGGGAGAAAGATAAGTTGCACAGCAAGCAGCTTTTGAAAGAGAGAGAGAGAGAGAGAGGAAGGAAGGAAGATAAGATGGATGGATGGGTGGATGGATGGATGGATGGATGTTGAAATGGCACACATCACTCTGCTTACATCTCATCAGCCAAAAGTTGGTCATCTGGCCACACCTGGCTGCCAAAAAGCAGCCAGATGTCCTCTCTAGTTGGGCAGCCATTTGTCCAGCTCACATAGGGAGGCTTCTGTTCCTGAAACAAAGGAGGGAGGATCTGGAGGATGTCAGCAGCCTGTGGCTGTCATGCTGCCTGTCTCTCAGGCACTGCAGACTTACCTGTCTGAAGCCAGATTTGCAGACTGCATGCGTCTCCTGCCCACCTCCAGCTGCTTCACCCGCGTTCCTCCTCATCTTCTCCTGGGCAGCACAGGTCATGCACATTCTTCCTCCATGCCGTGCATTTACTTCTTTTCCCCATCCGCCACAACCCTGCCATGTTTTGCTGGGCCTCCCTGCCTTCAGTCCTGCCCACCCCAGTCCATCCCTTTCACAGCTTCCTGAATGACCCCTCAGCAAAGCAAGCCAGAGCACATGCCTCTCTGCTTTGATGGCTCCACAGCCCTCGGGCCCAGGTCCAGATGGCTCCCAGCAGCTTCCAGGGCCCATGGTGATCTGGCCTGGTTTCCTCTCTCCAGCTTCTTTCCCCCACTGCCCAGCAAAACTAACTCTTAAATGACTTCTCACATTCAGAATGCACCTCCACCTCTCTGCACATGCTCTCTCTCTTCCCCACAGCTCAGAGCCTTCTCTGTCCTTCTCGGTTTAGGGATCTCCTTGCATCGGGGCTCTTCCTGAACATGCCCGCAGTTTGCACTCTCTGTGAGCTCATCAAGGGCAGGCACACTGGCTGTTCCTGCACAGGACTTTGTCCACAGTGGTGTCAGGAAGTGCTTTTTGAATGACTGGCAGTGCAGGTGTATTCCAGTAAGGCAAAGAAACAGCAGGTTGTAATGGCTACCTGCCTTTTCACCTAGTCCATCTCTGAACCTTTGCACTTGTACCCCAAGAGCCAGTTTGAGCAATTCACCATTTCTGAGCACAGTCAGCTCGAGCTCTGTACCTCTGCTGTCTGTCTCTGGCAGATCCAGATGCAACCTCCTCCATGAAGCTCTCCTTGTCTTCTGCACCCCTGCCAAAGGGTAGGACCTCTTTTGCCTTGGTTTACTTTTTGCTTATGCCCTTATGTTATTATAACTTGTGTTGCAACTTGTGTTACAGTATTCCCCCAACTAGCTGCTTTAAGACGAACTGATCTTGCTTTATCACCTATGTTACTTACCACTTCTTATACAAAAGCACCCCATAAACGTTGAGTTGAATTGTCTCAGCCCCATAAAAACTGTAAAAAAATAATAATCTCTAGAAATAGATATTCCTTCAGATGTCAGTAAAATGAAGCAGCCTCGTCAGGGAATCATTAGGTACTGAATTATGGGTCAGAGCAGCAAAAGTTTATTGAATGCTTCTATTGTGGTCCTGTCCCCAGCAGTGTGAGATGCCACAGTAAGCAACACAGACCTGCCCTCACCGCCCTGGAGCTTAGGGCCCCCTCCTCACCGCAGCGTGGCTCAGCCAGGCTGTTTAGCTCACAGTGTAGCAGGGGCTGATCATCCCACTGTAGGTTGTCATGAGCAGTGTGTTGGTTCATCTAATGCAGTGCTGGCCTCCCGGAGGCACTCCCCAGCCTGTGTACAGCACATTCAATCACAGTTGCTGGTGGTACTAAGAGCTGTGCCTCAGCCACTGCCCTGAGAATGGTTAAAAGAGGGGGAGGGGTGCCTGGATGGCTCAGTCAGTTGGGCATCTGACTCTTGATTTTGGCTCAGGTCATGATCTCGTGGGTTCATGGGTTTGAGCCCCTAGTCGAGCTCCATGCTGAGCATGGAGCCTGCTTGGGATTCTCTCTCTCTGCCCCTCCCTTACTTGCTCTCTGTATCTTTCCCAAAATTAATAAAAATAAACTTTAAAAAGATGAGGGGGGGAGCGGGGGTGAAGCAGTGGTCAGTTGGAGAAGCTATTCATTTGATTTAAATTCTTTGTTTAGGCTTGTTATTCATGAATTTATTTCCATGTTTAATGGAAATTCTAGGCATCTCTGTATTGAAATACAAATCATCACTCCAGAGAACTTAGCAGGTAGGCATTAAATATTAGATGGTAGAACAAACAGGAATTTGCTGAAGCTGTAGAATAAAATTTAAATTCCATGTTTTTAAATAGTATATAATGTTTACCCCTATGATTTTATTGTTGGCTTTTTAATTTTTTTAAAAAGAGCAAAAGAAATAGTTTTATGACTTCTAAATAAACATCTTCAGACAAGAGCCAGGGATCCAAATCAGTGTAACTGCTGATTTGTGTTTGGTTGTTTTCTATATAAAATCACATAGGCTCTTGCGTGGTGGGGATCTCAGCCTACTGCCTAAGCCACCAAAAGGTGGCTGCCTAAACCACCAGTTTATACTAGTTTATCATGAATAATTGTCAGAGCATCCATGTTAATGACTATAGGTTACAATGGTTCTCTGTCTACAACTGTCTGTATTGAGCCCACCAGTGATGTGGGGTTTGGGGAATGTGGGGCCTCAACGTGTGCAGTGGGCATGCATGGCCACACACCCATGTCTCCAGGCCCAGCACCCCAATGTTCCATCACTTCCTCCTTTTACAATCTAGATATATAGTAGGACTTGCTTTCTGCTCCATCATTTCACCTGAATTTGTGGACTTACAAGAAGACTGGCCCACTTGTGTTTTCTGCAGGAACTGTAGACAGAATCCCTTGGAAACCTCTCCCCAGTGCCTTCATCCCTGGTTGAGGCAGCCCGGCATAAGCTAGCTCCAAAGGAGGCGAGCTGATGAGAATCACTCAGTGACATAATCCTGTCATGGCTAGCAAAAATGGACAAATAAAAGAAGGGCTGTTAGTTTCTAGTCCGCTCCCTTAAAACATGGTCATGTGGGGCCTCAATGTTCCTTCCTTTCATGATGGTCTTGTGCCTCTGAAATGTCGTTGCATTTTTTTGTTTGTTTGTTTTGCACTTTGCTTAAGTTCAGAACTTGGTCCAACCAACTTTATCAACTTACAGCCACGTTGTCTTACATGCCAATAAACTTGCAACCCTATGAAGTGAGGTGTGCCTGTATCATCTCAGAAAGAGTGCATGTTCATTCTGTTTCTCTTTTAAGGAACCGGACCACTGTACCAGCTCTTTGGAATATTCTATGATACTACATCATGAGTGACAGTAAATGTGATAGTCAGTTTTACAGTGTGCAAGTGGCAGACTCAACTTTCACTGTCCTGAAACGTTACCAGCAGTTGAAACCAATTGGCTCTGGAGCCCAAGGGATTGTTTGGTAAGTATGCTCTGTTTCAATAGCATGGACTGAGTTTTTGTCATAATAAAAACCCAATAAAATGAAGTTGTCAGAACTTAGAAACGCTGATGATTAAAAAAAAATACTCTTTTCTTTGCAATAGGTTTTTGAACTATATCAGATCAAGCTCTTGCTCTAGTTATATGTAGTCATATTGTAGGATACAGACCTCAATTCTTAGAATGCTGCATAAATTTATAGTTTGCGATTTTTCTTTTTTTCCCTTTGTTTTTTTTCTTTTCTTTTCTTTTTTTTTTTTTTTTTTTTTTTTTTTTTTTTTTTTTTTTTTTTCCATTTCCCTGTCATTAGATACTAGAGTAATAGGTATGACAGTGAGTTGTAACAGAAATTTGGAGTTTTATTCATTTCTTCATCCTGGCCACCTTTCCCCTCTCCCCCTTTTATCCCCAATCACTCCTATTCATTTCTAGGCGCCGTCACTGCAGTGCCTTGCCCTTCATTGGCAGGATGAGGCCAGTCAGTGTCATTATCACCCCATGGATTAACCAGGAAGGGCTGCTGTGTGAGGGGTTGGGCTGGCCGTCTCTTCCTTGGTGTCTCACTTCAACCATGTGTCCAGCCCGTCAGAACCGTTGGTCTGACCCTGAACCTTAGTCTCTTGCATGGTAAGACAGTCAGCTGCCGCGACATCACCGGCCAGCTAAAGGTAAAGTCTTTCACGTGTTTTCTAGACTACAGTTATCAGCGCTTCCCAAACTTTTCAACCCATAGTTTTCTGGGCAAGGCTTTTCTTTTCTTTTCTTTTTTCTTTTTCTTTTTTCTTTTTTGGGTCAATAAAAACAAGGTTGTCTTTGCATCTAAAATAAACTGTGTTGGAGCTAAATATCCACTGTTTACAACTTGTAGGCAGAGGGGATTCAAGATAAAAGAGAACTAACTCTTCTAGATGTTCTGGCAGGGGGGCTTAATGTTCTCATTAGAGATTTTGAGTCTAGAGACCCAGCACTTTGTAATTGATCCTCGGTTATGGAGACCTGAGATCCGGGAAGTCCTTCCCATTGTTCCCTTTAGCCTAGGTGGTTGGAGCCCTGGGAGCTAAGAGGAAATGACATTCAGAACTTCACAGAAAAACTAATGTAGGAGAAGGGGCTGTTTGGGAGGAATGCCCAGTCTGGGTCTAAAATAAGGGTGATCTTAATTTCCAAAAGATAACACACTGTATTGCTATTTAAGTCCATTGTGCCAAGAGAAGTTTTAAAGTCATTGGATGGTTCAAGTGAGGACACTTTGAAATGTATAAAAAGTTCTAGACAATAAAACATTCTTTTGGTTTATAATCCATCTCTTACTTGGAATTGCATAGTAATTTGATACAGGTAATTTGGCAAGGCTGATATTAACAACATTTAATGTAATAACCACATTGAGAATCAACCTCTCAATATGGTTCATAAGTAATTCTAAATAAAGTTCATGAGTAAAAAAAGTTCATAAGTAATTGCAAAATGGAAGGTTTTGTAAATGGGAGGCAGTTAAAATTAATGACTTCATTACAGCATGTAAATAACAGTAAAATCACATGTTACTTTATAAAATACCATTTTGCAGAGATTGGTTTTGACTTCCAGGTTGTATACGCTACTTTTCATCTTTAATTTTTACAGACATGTTTAATAATGAAATTATTCATCACAGATGTGTATTTTTTATTAAAAAATTTTCAGTTTTTAAACAAAAGTTCCTAATATGCCATTATAAGCTAAACCTCATCTGAGAAAGCAGTGGCAGAATTATAGTATGGAAAGTTCTGAATTAAAAAAAAATTTTTTTTGACTCAGGGCCCAGAAATAAACCCATACATTTATGGCCAGTTGATTTTGGAAAAGTTCTCCATGGTCATCCATTGGGGAAAGAGCAGTCTCTTCAACAGATCGTGCTGGGGCAAGTGTATGTCCACATGCAGAAGGCACGTCATGCGTTGGACCCTTGCTTCACATTGTGTAGAAGGTTAACTCAAAATAAATCATTGACCTAAACGTAAGTGCTGGAAGCATAAACTCCTAAAAGAAAACCAGGGAAGCTTCATGACTTTGGATTCTTAGAAATGACACCAAAAACATGAGCAACAAAAGAACAAATTGGACTCCATCAAAATTTAAAACTTTGGTGCATCAAAGGACACTGTCAACAGAATGAAGAAACCACCCACAAAATGGGGAAATGTTTGCAAATCATATATCTGGTAAGCGTCTAGTATCCGGAATGTATAAAGAACTCTTACAACTTTAAAAAGACAACCCAATTAAAAAAACAAAACAAAACAAAAAAAAAAACACAGCCGAAGGACTTGAATAGAATTTCCCCAGAGGGGATATATAAATAGATAATAAGCACATGCAGAGGTGCTCAGCATTAGTCATTTGGGAAATGAAATCAAAACCACAGTGAGTTACAACTTCATACCCACTAGAATGGCCATGATCAACACAACAGAAAATAAAAAATGTTGGCAAGGATGTGAAGAAGTTAGAAGCCTCATGCATCGCTGGTGAGAATGTAAGATGCTGCGGCCTCTTGTGGAGAACAGTTTGACGGATCCTCAACGCAGAATTACCACGTGACCCAGTAACTACTCCTAGGTATATACCCCAAAGAATTAAAATCCATTGTACCAACAAAAACTTACACAAATGCTTTGTACACTGTAACAAAGGTGTACACAGATGCTTGTAGCAGCAGTATTCGCAGTAGCCAGAAGGTAGCCCAAATGTCCATCAGGAGATGATGAATAGATGCACAAATTGTGTTCTGTGCACACATATGGTTTGATTCATAAAAGGACCAAAGCCCTGACACGTGCTACAACATGGATGATCCTCAAGAGCACGCTAAGTGAAAGAAGCCAGACGTTTATATGAGATGTCTAGAGTAGGTGGGTGCCTGGAGGCAGATGCAGACTGGTGGTTAGCAGAGGCAGGGGGGACGGGGGGATGGGACACAGCTGCTTACAGGGTATGGGCTTTCCCTTTGTGTTGACGGAAATCTTTTGGAATGATACAGAGCTGGTGTCCGCACAACATCCTGAATAGACTGAATGCCACTGAATCATTCACTTTCAACTGGTTAATTTTGTGTGTCTGTGAATCTCACCTCAAATATTTTCTTTAAAAAAAGAAAGCAAATTGGAGGGATGCCTGGGTCACTCAGCCTTGATCTCAGCGTTGTGAGTTCAAGCCCCACATTGGGCGTGAAGTCTACTTTAAAAAAAAAAAAGCAAACCGGAAGGTGCCTTACAGCAAGGCTATTTTATCATTTTGTCATTTGGATATTTAACTCCTGATACTAAAGCATTGTATGTAATGGTATTTTTACACTGTACAGTGTGTAAAATATGTTGTCATTTCCCCATAGTAGCTTGACTTCTATATTGACAGAATCTTAATAGTAAAGTCACTTAAATCTTAATGTTTTCCTTTACATGATTTCATGACAATTTTGTTAATACTTGTGGGAGCAGCTTTTATCCCACATGCAGAAAGGTAGGCAGAAAGAAGTACATGAGGGCTAAAACCCTGACGCTGTTCTAAATCTCATCTCTTGCAAATCCCTATTTCCATTAGCCTGAGTTTTGATTCTAAGGCAAGATCAAAGGCTGGGTTTTTGTTGTTTTCTGCTGAAGTGAGAAGTCATTACTTGGAACTAATTAAGCTTAATTAATTAATTAAAACTTGATGAGCCCATGCGCAGCTAACAGTTTATTTCACAATCTTCGATGTCACTATTCACTTACCTTTGTAACGCAGACGGTTACTTGTTACCAAACCAAAGCCTGTTGGGCTAACTTCACAGGATGCATGGAGAAGGGGTTAGTTAACTTGATTCAGATGACTGATGTCTTCTGGTAGAGATGTGTGTACAGCTGTGAAAATCTTTCTTGGGCTTCTGGGATGTTTCATCTGTTGGCCTTCAAATGAAGTGCTATCCTGGGAGCTGGGCCCATAGTTGGAGACCTGCCTTCTGTTATCATGTCATTGCTCCTTTCTCCCAGAGTCTGTGTGGCCTTGCTGTTGGCCAGGCGGGTGGGTGACTGACTGCTCCTCGCCTTGCCGGTGGGTTGAGGCTTTGGGGTCCCCTTGAGCCACAACAATGGTGATCCTCAGAATGAGAGAGTACTTCCCCTGTGATACCCCCTCCACCCCATCTTCTGAGTATTTTTTCCCAGATCTGTTTTGCACAGCATCGTGGGTATTGGCATTCTGCTTTGAGGGCCTCAAAAGAAAAGTGTTCAGTATGCGGTGCAAGGAGAGGGTCTTTCACCCTCTCCTAGAAACTACTAACTACCGTTAGTTAGAAACTACTAACAGTGCCAGTCAGGCCCCTTTCTTTCCTCCAGTGACAGAAGGGTCCGAGTGTCCCCCACCATCAAGCCCTAACTTCTAGATAACTGGTTCTCTGCAGCCGTTCTTTCCCTGCAAACATGACCATTACTTTTGTCCCCACTGCATGTGGGGATTGGATTGTCCTCAGAAGCCCACCAGTCTTTAAGACACTGTCACTGGTCTTTCAAGACTAATCTCATCTATGAAACATCCCCAGCTAATCTCAGCTCACATTTAGAATAAAGCCTCCTCTCTGGTTGAACCAAATGCTTCATTGATGTGCACACCACGTGAGCGCGCGCACACACACACACACACACACTTCAGAACTAGAAGATAATAGATTTGTGTTTTAAACCAAATTTGTGGTAATTTGGTACAACAGCAATAGGAAACTAACAGAGGCATGTGTGTTCTTACATTTTTGAAAATAAAATGTAGTAGCAATAGTGCATGGTTTGCAAAACTTGTTAATCATCTGTGTAAACTAGAGCTTTATGAAGACCTAGGGACTAGGGTGCAGCGAAACCAAAGTGCAGGTACTGGTCTGGGATTAAGTGGAAGAGGTGGGACCAGAGGAAAACATTCTGCCTCTTAATTTTGAATAGCTTTTGCAATTGCCTCTTGTTTCCATATTTT